GCCCCAGCAGGGCCCCTCATTCCGGCGGCAGCCTCTGCTCACTTTCCCCCGTCTCTGCCCCTCAGCCCTCCTCGGGGTGCCCTCAGCCCCGTATCTCCCCCCGTCCTGGGGGCGGGGTGTGTGGCCCTGGGTTCCCCTCCCCATTCAGCTACCCCCATGTTAGGGGTTTTGTTAAAGGGCAACTGCCCCCCCCTCCCCCCAGTATCCTGCTTTTCACACTTGTTATCCGATCATCCTGTCCCCATTTTAGGCTCTGTCGCGATGGTTTGCATCTGATATGGAAAATAGCACGTGAGCAGGGACTTATCGCTATTAAGCGTCCCTCCCTAAAGCACGTGGGGCTACTGTGGGGTAAAGAGACTTTGCATAGTGTTGATTCCCCCTCCCCCCAACTTTTCCTCACCCCTTACAAATCTGTGATTGATCATTACTTGTATGTTAAAGTTCTAGGGTCAGGCTTGTTAAGGAAGCCATTATGGGTAGGTGTCAGTTGTTTCGTGAATATGGGAGGAAACTCAGGGATTGGTCCTTTCTTTCTCACTGTTGGTCTTTGTCACTGTATTAGTGTTTAGTCTTCAAGTTTATTGCTGTTCAAGGCAAAATGCAAAGAGAATCCTTGCCCCAATTAGCTCAGTCTGTTATGTAAGTAAAGGGGTTTATATCTACATTTGGGAGCTGGGAAAACTATTATTTTTCTTGCATGATGGTATACTATAGGTGATAGTGCTGGACAACAATCCTTGCCACAAAGAACTTTTCTTCTGGGCTCTCCATCCCAAAATCCGATCCTAACTTTACACATGATTTTCTTTTCAGCATTAGAGAATATATTTGCCGCATTCCACTTCTGTATATTTTCTTTGCTAAATACGCTATCCCATGCTTTAACCTCCTGTGCAGCTTTACTATTCTCTCTTGTCTTCCCCACACTTGAAAATCTCTCAACTCTAACTTTTTGGGGGAGAGAAGAAAGTGGTATAATTTCTTAATGCAAAACACCTTTTGATTGGACAATTGCCATGTTAATTTCTTTTCCTCGTAGTTGAGAAATTTTTGTTCCCAATTTTTTTATTTGTTTGTTTGTTTTAATATCCAGAGACTTTAAAGGCAGGTGCATATTTTTTAATGCAGAAATGAACTTTTTGTCCCCATGTTCCTTTCCAAACAAACATTAAATATTCACCATGCAAAACTGATTTTTAAACTAGATACTCATATGTGAAACAGGAGAGAGAAGCCACATGCTCTTTAACCTGGTCAATTGAAATATTGGGGCACCTAGACATCACAGTGATGGCTATACAAAAATCAGTAGAGGGATAAAGCAGTGAAACTTATACAACAGAGTAGTCTTGTTCAACAGCCTCCTGCCTGAAAAGTCTGCCCCAAAATATCCTTAAGCATGGCATGCAGTTCTTCTCCAGCTTTATTAGGAGACATGTTGGTTGAGAAAGTAGTAGAAAAAATTGCTCAATATTTGTGCATGTGCCACATTGGGATGTTGTTAAACTTCTAGCATCCCCGAACAGATAATTTAGAGGGTGCAGAAAATATTTTTTGACTTCTCTTTACAAATAAATCACTGATTAGAAAGACAAGAGAAAGTGCACCTTTCTTGTTTTTAATCACTTATCCTGCAAAGAAAACTTTGCAAAAAGACCCCTAACCGTATCCCCGGTTGAATTGTGGTAAAGTCATTGGCTGAAGAATGGGGTCACAGCTACTTGATGTTAATTAAAATACCATAAAGAATAAAACCATGAAGATCTTGCTATATTAAAGAAAAATAAATGTATCAGAAATTGTAATCATGGGACTCTAGACTGGTTCAATGAGCTGAAAGTTTCCCTGAAATTTCTACAGCATGCTCTGATTGCAAATATATCACTACATACAAAGTCTTTAGAATAACTTCTTAAATTGGAGAAAATGTAAATGTTAACTGTTAGAAAAACTTTAACTTAAAAAATTGACCTAAAGTAAGCCAGAAAACACTGAAATATGCTGTCTTTTTAACTGAGATGTATTTGGGTGTTTCAGCCCACGGGCACCGTGTTGAGGACCACTGATTACTTGATTGCTGAGGATGCCAAGACAACTTTGGCTGTCTTTTATCTTAATTTGTTATACAGTAATCAGAAAATTAATTATGTGTTGCATTTTTTCCATTAATTTAAAATCTTCGCCCACAGACTTGCCATTAATAATTTGTTCTTTAATATCTTTCTTACATTGAAGCTCTTCTCTGATAAATGGAAGATGCCAGCTTTTTTGGTTCCTGAGAAACTTGCTCATATGTTGACAAGGCACAGTCCTTATTCTGCTATTTAGAAAGGCTTGTAGTTTTGTGTGTTACTGTGTTGGAGATCTACTCTGTGTGGGTGGGGTGGAGGAAGTGCAAAACTGGATACTGAAGGAGTGTCCAAAACTGGATACTGAAGGAATGTACACCAAGGATGCAAAGAAGCAGGTAATTGACCCCAGACCCAGCACAAGCCAGGACTGAACAGTTCTGGCTCCTGCTGGGTCCAGGACTGCTGCGCCTCTACGTCTCCTGCCCCTGCACTGCAGAGACGGTGCTGGAGGGAATCGGCTTTTAAGCTGACTCCCCCACAGCACCAACCGCTGACACCTTCCTCCCTCCCCTTACAGAGGCAGTAAGGGGGTGGAGAAGCGAGTAGTCACTCGACTAGTCACTTACATCTATAGCGTGTACCATGAAATAGAAATACTGAACCAAAAAAACCATCAATTTATTGAGAGGTTATCAACTTGTTCTATTTCAGAGTTTTAAAAAATTCTCTATTAGCAAATATTTAAGGTTAGCCACCAAACTAGAAGACACATGAGAGGTTGTTGTATATCCTTTTCAGAACAGCAGCCTCTTATACATTCATAATAATATTTTATCCTATTATTTGAAATACTTTAAAGTTTTGTTTTATGGACAGACTACACAATTTGCACTTATACAGTTCTAGTTCACTTAGCAATGGTTCAGTTCTTTAGCAAGGACATACCATAGTGGCAAATATTAAAGGCTACTTAATGTAGTCTTGGTAATATAAATTTGAATTTTGTAGAATATGATAGGACATTACTGAAGAACACATTAACTTAGTGGAATCCATCCTCATAAGAAATACAGTCCTTGCAAAAAAGTGTATAATTTAATTTCAGTTAGTTAGTGTTGGCTCCTAACCAGGAATTTAGAAGAAATTTAGAAACACTTCACTTTTGCTTTTTGATCATTGGCTATATCCCTACACTTAGAATCGTGGTGGACAACCGGCAATTGGAGTGCCACACATAACTAGCCTATCAGGGTTCTGTGTGAGGCCTGGAAGATATTTTGTTTACTGTTGCTCATGGACATGGTTGCCAGATTCTGCTGCCTTGAGTCTGTATCATTTTTATTCATACTGATATTACTAAAATAACAGACATGTAAAGCAAGGGCAAGTAAAGTGAGGTGCATGCTGATTGCACACAGCATTGATTGTAATATATGGCCTATTCGTCTCGAGAGACGGTGGTAAGCAGCGGCAATGACAATCTATGAGCTGTGCGCTTTCTCTGCATCCAATCAAAGCGCTGTTATGGTGTAGTCTGCACATCCTGTAAATTCTAGGTATGCCAGTGCAATTAGCAAAACTACTCTCTCCTGGGAGACCTTGGTTACAACACTTTTTAAGATGGAGGGCCACTCATGCAGCCCACTAACTATCCTGCATTGCCCATTGCTGACCTAAATTAAAACAAATCTCATATAATCTGTGGTGCAAAGACTGAGTGGGTTTATTTTTCACTTCTCAAAATATTCTCTTATTCTGACGTGTTTAAAAATTACTGTCTGACTATATCTCATTGGATGTGGAACTGAAAATAATATGAAAAGGCAAAATTATAGCCACCTTTTTCTAAAGGTATGTCTACACAGCATAACTTCCCTTTCCCCCCACTGTCACAATAGGTCTCAGATCCCCCATCAGCTGACCTCTGGCTCACAGGGTCTACAGTATGGAACTAAAAGCAGTTTAGTTCTTCCTCCTCAGACTGAGACCTCCCCCTTACTGGGTTCATAGCTAAACCCACTATGCTATGTAGGTCATATTATAATGAGCTTTCATCGGGAAAGACCAAAAACTCTCTTACTGCATTTGGATGACTAAAACTAGAACAAAAGATATATTTTTAAGATGCACAGTGTAAATGGTCTCTAAACAGGAGTTTAGTAGTTATGAACCGAGCTTAATTTCTAAACAAAATATCACCCTTGCAGCATGGACCTCTCCTCTTTGAGATTAGGAAATAGACATCCATCTTTTCTTTGCTCTCAGTTGTAATCACTGTGTGTTTTTTATATAGATTATCTTGACAATGGCAATAATAAAATGGCAATCCAGCAGGCTGATAAACTGCTAAAAAAACACAAGGATCTTCACTGTGCGAAGGTAAATGTGATTGCTTTTTTATGGTATTCTACCAAGTGCACACAGTTCTAAAATTTAAGGAAATTCTGCTGTCCCATTCAAGCTTTCACTAATCTTATGGGTTTTTTTTACAGAGGCCATAATGTTTCTTAGAAGTTTTCAGATGGTTAATAGAATACGTTAAATCATTGAATATCATATTTGTTTGAAAATGTATAAAGAAATGATAGAAAATAACCTACAAAAATTCCACCCTTTGACTGCTATGATGTTACTAGGGCTTCTGCTGTTCTGTCCTTCTCCCAGGCTCCTGGATACTGATGCAGCTGCAACTTACCAGAGCTTTCCCAAACTGCAAGAGAGTGAAATGATGAGAATATTTTAGTTTCTTTTCTGACCACATAGTTCTGAACAGTAGCAGTGCAAACTAGTAAGACTGATTGGTTTCACTCAGCTACAAGTAGGGAAATCTGAGCAGCAGCAAAATCACTGAAATTGGCAGTCTACAGACTGAGGAAGGCAGCGCTGCATCACTTTATACCCAAGGTTTCACCTTTTTTCCCATTTGCTGACTCCTAAAAAAAATTCTAAGGGTGGCACAGACCCCTTTAGAAATCTTAGACATAGGTTGAAAACAACAATTTTACATTATTTGCATTTGGAAGATTTTCCATGCAGTCACAAGATTGTATTTTTTTTAATGAAGTCTTAGATTCTTCAGAAATTGAGGGCAGTCACTTAGACAAGTCCATTTCTTACCATGGACAAGTTTAATTTTTCTCTAATAATGATCTTTTGTTTCAAAATAAAGTTTCTTCTATAGGTGTTGGCAGTGTTTTTTAACAGCTGCTTCTTTATTACATATATAGGTATTAAAAGCGATTGGCTTGCAGAGAACTGGGAAACAAGATGAAGCATTTGCTCTTGCACAAGAAGTAACTGCACTCGAACCCACAGATGACAACTCTTTGCAAGCACTGACTATTCTTTATCGGGAAATGCACAGACGTAGGTTTTTTTGGTTTTACTTTCTCCTGCAAATTTGAACTTCTTGATCATAATTACATAATGTTTCCTCTAGCCTTTCTTTAAAGTTAATTGTCTGGAATTTAAAGGGAAACGTATAAAGTAGAGTTACAAGCATGGGCTCTTTAATAATACAGCCGGTGCCCGACTTACGAACGAGTTACGTATCAGACACTAGGTTGTAACTCAATCTGTTTGTAAGTCAGATTACATTCACTTACATATGGCCGCGCTGTTCATAAGTGCGGATTTCGTTCATAACTCGGGTTCCAGGTGAATAGGAGGTTTGTCGTAAATACGAACAGTCGTAAGTTGATGTGTTCATAACTCGGGGACCAGCTGTAGGTGGTTCAAACGTGGGATTCAGGTGCCCAGTTTGGCACAAAACCATGTAAATGTCCTTTTGACATAAAAATGTCCGTTTGATCATCTTAAATAAAGATGTCCTAGCTAGCTTCTGTTATTGAAAAATGGGTCATAAGTAATTTTAACATGGTATGTTAGTCATAATATCAAACAAGTTCACTCAAACTTACTCCAGCAAAAACAATGTGAAGTTATTGTTAATCTAAATGGGAACAGTGTAAATGGTTAGCAGCTAATATTATATATGAACTTTGAAGAAGCAGTGTAAAATGTATATAGACACAATCAAGGAATTTAGCCCCTCAAAATTACTTTAGAAGTTGTGTTATAGACGTAGAGGGGAAATCCTGACCTCTCCCTTTCCTGTTACTCTTTTGAAAACAATTCCTCTAAATCATGACTTCTTGGGTGGTTCAGTAAACAAAGCTGTGCATGCTTATTGAGAGAAAAAAAGCATACATGATTTGGTTTGTCTGAAGCAGTAAGAGATACCTTAGCACAGCAGTTCACAACCTTTTCAGGTGGGGACCCATTTTGACAATTCAGGAAGACTTGGTGACGCACGGCAATTCAAAAACGGGGGGAGGAGAGAGGACAGAGCCACCTGGGGAGACACTTGGCAACCCTTTTGAAATGTAATGATGACCCATATTTGGGTCCTGACCCATAGATTGGGAAACCCTGCCTTAGCACTATCCTGAGGCTGTCAGTAATGTTTATCAGATTTATTGCAGAAAATGATTGTAGATTGAAATGAGGAGATATAATTGCCTGAGTCCATTTCTTTGATATAACAACCTCTTGTGTCCTTTACTAGTTAATTTCTGGCCCATAATCTTTGCTTTGTGAAAGCACCTTTATTGTAATAATATGAAACCCCTTCATATCTGCATTTTCATCTTTATTTCTATAATTCTCAACTTAAAAACCAGAAACATATAAATGTAAAAATAGTTGGATGTGTTATACACAGAAAGTAATCATTCAAGAATATATAAAACCATACTAAATCTTAAAACATTGCATGTATAAAATAGTTTAAACTTGAGGAATTCATTCTGTGCCTTTATGTGAAGAATAATTTGAATTTTAAAAATTCCATTTAGCATAATGATTGTATAATTTCGAATACACTCTTTTTTGGGGTACCAGGGTTTTTTAATGTATAGCATAATCATGCTTTATATATTAGGCAGCAGTTTTCAAACTATGGGTTGAGACTCCAAAGTGTTCATGAACCTGATTTTATCAGGTTGCCAGGACTGTTGTTAAACTTGCTGAGACTTGGGGCCAAAGTCCCCCAAACTCCTCTCTCTGGGATCGATGCTTTCAGTCCTGGGTGAAGGGGGCTTAGTTACAGGCCCCCCTACCCAAGGCTAAAGCCCTTTGGCTTAGCTTTGCTCACCCTGCCTCACTCAGTTGGTCTGAGGCTTTGGCACCCATCCTATCCTGTGCCCAGTGTGGTGGGCTCAGGCTTTGGTCCCCCATCCTGAGTTATGTAATAATTTTTGTTATCTGAAGGATCTCATGGTAATGAAGTTTGATAACCACTATACTAGAGGGAGCATCCTTGAAATAGTTTAAACTTGAGGAATTCATTCTGTGTCTTCATAAATCATTTATTTAAAGTAGACCATCTCTGCATGACCAAAGTACAAATCTAGAATTGGTGTAATGCCACCAAATAGGTAAACTTGGAAATTTCTGCATGCCTACTATGTATTTGTGGACTTGGGGTGCTAAGGGAGAGAAACTACTTCCTATATGTGTTGAATGTAATTGTATTACCTTGCATAGCATCCCATGTGTTATCTTGAAATAGCTGCTTTATAAATTTGTCCCAAATGTGCCTGAACTGAAACATCCTGTTTTTGGTTTAGCGGAGTTGGTAACTAAACTTTATGAGGCAGCTGTAAAGAAGGTTCCCAACAGTGAGGAGTATCATTCTCATCTCTTCATGGCCTATGCCAGGGTCGGGGAATACAAGAAAATGCAACAGGTACCTTCTCCCATTTCAGTTACAGTAATTATAGGTGGTGCATTTAACTATAGTGGGGGCAAAGTTCTTAAGATAGAAGTGTGATTTTTGTTTTGTTTCTCCCCCTCGTCCCACTTGATGGCTGCCCATGAAACAAAGAAAATAATAACTAATGTTTCCATAAGGCTCTTCTCTGTATCTATCATACTGTACTAGTGAGCAGCACCTTTTAAAAGTTATATTAATCGTTCTAAAAAGCTGTGATGAAGCAATACTAAAGTTCTACTTCATGAGTCAGTATTTGATACAGTGTTAGTTAGAACCATTACTTAGATTTGTGTTTTTATATACAAGACAGTTGTTTTATTTCCTTTCAAAAAGAAAAAGATAACTTTATGAACTACAGTATGTGGTCTGTACTGATGCAGTATGTTTTGTTGGCCTTCTTGTCCTATTAGGTTCCTGTTGATGCCTATTATCAGAGAGTACTAATACAAATAAGGTAGTGCATTAGGCAGGAGTAGTTAACTTCTCTGAGAGTTCCTGAGGGCCACGGTTTCAAATACTATATAAACGTAAGCTTTTTTTCTTGCCTGCACTCTTATTTCTAGAAACCAGTATGTAGTTGGACTGTGCAGTTAGTATTTTGAGAGACAAAAAAGCTTGTTTTTTCTTCACTTGCATCTTGGTTTTCTGCTGGCAAGACACTCTCATGCTTGTTAGTTTTGTTTTTCATCCTTCCCAAATTAGGTGCCTAGAGAATGCCTATAAATGGAAGTCTCTTTTCAAAGTGCGCATTCTCTCCCTTTTTAATGTATAAAAAAGCAGAGGAAATCAAGCAAATTGATTCCAAGCTCTTCCCACTGTACTAGGGTCATGGTACAGAGATTCAAGTGACCTTGTCTACACAACTAAAAAGAGTTGAACAATGGTGATTAATGTCTGTGTGGCCCAGCTGCAAATGGCTCAATTAGAACAGGACTGAATAATTGATATATATAAGGTATGGACAAACACAAATTGTGGGCAGGCTGTATGAGTGGCCCTCCACCTCAGTGGGCCTCAGCAACTCGTTGAACAAGGGATTCCACCTTCAGCTTTTTGGCCTCCCTGTCTGCCCCTCACTCTGTGCACCTCACACACTGCAATGTTGGAACCCCACACCTACCTGCTCTTCCCCTCCCTCCCAGCACTTTTGGAGCACGCTAATTAGGGATGTTAAATAGAGGTTGGTAAGCTAATCAAGTAGTTGATGTAATTTCCATTGACTACTTGATTAGTCAATAGGGCAACGTCTACACTGCAGGGTTTTTGTGCAAGAAGTCTTTTGCAAAAGAGTTGTTGTGCAAAAGCGCATCCACATCTCAAAGTGCATTGCTTTTGTGCAAGAGAGCGTCCACATTGTATGGATGCTCTTGCGCAAGAAAGCTCTGATCGCCATTCACAGAATGGCCATCAGAGCACCTGTACTTTTTCAGATAGGCTCTTTTTGAGCAAGAAACCCCTGCGGAGCGTCAACACGTGCCTTTTCGCTCAAAAACTGTAGTGCAAAAAGGAATTATGCCCTGTAGAAGGTGGCATACCTACATCGCAAAAAGCCCTCTGTTTTGTCGATTGACTGTAGATTTTCTTGCGCAAAAACACTCTTGAGGCGTGGATGCTCTGTGGGTTTTTGCACAAAAACAGCAAAAACCTTGTAGTATAGACGTAGTCTAAAGGGGTTCGCTCTGGCTGTGCTTTTTAAACGTAGTAGGAACCATCAGGCTCTTACTGCATTTAAAAAGCAGAGGTGCAGTGTCTGGGATCCAGCGTGAGCCGTGGAGTCAGTGCTGGGGTGAACTGGCTTTTAAGCTGGCTCCCCCCAGAACCAGCTCCTGCTCTCCCCCTTGCTGCCTTTGATACAGAAGAGGCAAGCACGGTGGGGGGGAGCGACTAGTTGAGTAGTGACTTGACTAGTAGCTTACATCCCTAGCTTAGTACCCACTTCTCCCCCTCCCTCCCAGAGCTGGAATGATGCGAACAGCTGATTTACAGCATTCCCGCTCTGAGAGGGAGTCAGGCTATTTGTATGTTTCAAAAGTGCTGGGAAGGAGCAGGTAAGTGCAAGGTTCTGGTGCCCCACTGAGTGAGGTGTGTGGAAGATGGGGGCAGCCAAGGGAACCACAGGCCTCAGGTTGGGCTACAGGTTGCCCACCATTGATGTATATAGTGACTTATAGAATGATAAGCTTTTTATCAAAAGACTCTTCATAGAAAGCTTGAATCTGTAATGTGGCAAAATCATTATTTGTCACATCTCAGATCTGTCCTGAATTGATAGGTTATTTTAGACTGCTGCTTAAAATAGATCTTATTGTACTAAGTACTTTCAGTATTAATTTAAAAATAGCTGAAGATTTGACCACAGCACCAAGGAATGTATCTAGTTTGCTAATCTCTAAACTTGATTGTGTTTGTTGCACATTTGACCCACGTCAGCCAGACTGAAATCTCAAAACAGCCAACTACATCCTATACCAACCTCCAGCAAGCTGAGACATTGCACTGGTATATGCCTTCAGAGTGCTATATAGCAATATGGAAGAGATCTGTCTGTTTGACATACCTGTTGGTGAATATCAAAACAATTTTGGATTTACAATTTTTGCATATTAAAAGGACCAGATTTTAGTTTGATATGTGGTAGATGATGCCTATGTGAGGGAATGTTTGAAATAGAATAACTTCCATTCTAAGTTAAGTGATTTGGCTATGTGTTGATATTTAGAGCTATATTTTCCAAGTATGCATTTTCTCAGCTGTCTCTTGTGCCACATGCCTTCAAAATCTGAACACATGTATGTACAAGTTAAAAATGTTCAAGTGCAGGTGTTTACATTAATAAAGTGTAGACTTGGTTGTGTGTATGTGATTGAAACTGTGCACAAATGGAAACCAGAACTGAAAACTTTTCCCTTGGTCTGCAGAAGTATGTAGTGTGTGCATGAACGTGCACATCCTGTATCTAAACCAATAGACCAATGGTCTTCAACTTTTATATGCCCAAGATCCAGGTTTGAAGGGCAACCCAGGATTTTCCACACCCTTTCTCTGAAGCCCCTCTGAAGTTTTAAGGTGCTGGCTCTGGAAGGGGGCTCAGGGCTCACTCCATCCTCGCTTTTTTCATTGCTTATTGTCCCATACCCTCGCAGGGACAAGGGATTGAGTTTCAGGAATGGGTGTGGGCTCTGGGCTGAGGCAAAAGGGTTTGCAGAGTGGGAAGCGTCTCCAGGCTGAGCCTGAGGCAGAGGGTTGGGGTGCAAGAGGTACGGGGGTGCTGGGTTAGAGGGGGCTCAGTGCTAGTGCAAGAGCTCAATGGTGCTGATTCTTTGAGAGGGCTCAATGCTGCAGCAGGTGATTGGAGTGCAAGAGGGGTGCAAGGGAATATGGGGTGCATGCTGGCTTTCAGAGTAAGGTCAGGGCTGGGGCAGAGGGGTGGGATGCAGTAGGGGGTTTTAAGGTGCTGGCTCTGGAAGGGGGCTCAGGGCTAGGGTTTGGAGTACAGGAGGAAGTAATGGGGTGCTGGTACTGGCTCCTGAAGGGTTCTGGGGTGTGGCCTCCTGCTGGGCTACACCTACTGTGGGTGGCTTCCACTTGGCAGCTTGGTGAGGTTAAGGGAAGCTGCACCGGCCCCACACCACTTCTGGAATGGATCAACATGTGTCTGTGGCCCTAGTGCTCTATGCTCTGCCCCCTCTGCCTTCCCTTTCCCAGCCCATGGGAGCTGTGAGGATGGTTCTTACATGCAGAAGCAGCATGCACACACACACAGCTCCACCTGCTGCCTCTGGGAGCTGTCCATAGGTGTGGGGCCATGGCAGGCCATAGCAGCAGCCCCGTTCCACTCCCAGAAATTGCAATTGACTGGTAGAGTCCTCAGGATCTACCCGTCAGTTGTAGTCTACTGGTTGGCAACCACTGCTAAAGACGCTTTGAATAATGATTGCTCTGGAAATGCCTTTCCATGCTAGCTGAAGCAGTAATACACTTTAAGAAACAAGCAGCAGCTGATGGAGGGAGAGAAACTGTGTCACTACCAATATAAAGCCGGGTGAAGGGTGTTTCCTAGGGCAGCATTTCCCAATTGCCAGTCAGTTGACTGCCGGGCCACTGTGGCTATTGGAGCTCAAGCCTGCTGTTCCCAGTGGCTCAGTTCCTGCAGCCGTGCTGGCTCAGGCAGTGGCAGCAGGAGGCCTCTCACTTCTACCTCCCCACTCCGTGCTTGTGGAGGAAGGAGGTGCGAAGAAGTAGGGAGCATGTGTGCCACCAGCGGCTGCTCTCCCTGCTTGCACAGCTGTTTTCGGCAGGAGTAGAAGGTGCCTCTCTAGGACTTTGTGCTCCAGCCCCTGCCTGTGCAGCCGCTTTTGCCGCTGGCGGCACTGGGGCTGAGGTGGAGCAGGAGGGGCCTCCCCAAGGCTCCCGCTACAGCCCTCCACTTGTGTGCCTGCTTTTGCTGGCAGCAGCACAGGGGCTGAGGCATCTCTCTCCCTCCTTCCCCCTGTAATGGTGGCCAGCCCGGGCCCTGTGCTCTCCCTTCCACTCCTGGGGGTGCAAGACACACTTGGGAAGGGAGGGAGCACAAAGGATAAACACTCTCCCTGGTCACACAGCAGTAATGACCACTCTGTCTAGATTGGGCAGCCTTGGTTTGGGAAGTGTGGGAGTGTGTTGGGTGCAAATGAGGGGATGTGTGAGGGCTGCAGGGGTCAGAGATTAAAGGGTCAAAGGGCACGGAGTCAAAGGGTGTAAGGCACTGGGGAGCAAGGGGCTGGATTGAGGCTATGCAGATGGTAAATTTTTTTTTTAATATTTGCATAATAAATATGCAAATGTACAAACAAAATGTTACCGGTCCACAAAATGTTTGTGCATGGGCTTGCTGGTCCATGGCATAAAAAATGGTTGTGAGCCACTGTCCTAGGGAATTTATATTTAGTTGGGGTGGTTAAATTCTTATCTGGTCACTAATCCTCAGGAATGTTGTCTTTATTGTCATCACTCTTTCACTTTCTATGATGCAGCTTATAAATTGAAGCATTTTGAAATGATGGATGCATGTCTTACATTTTTCAGGCTGGAATGGCACTTTATAAAATTGTCCCCAAAAACCCTTACTACTTTTGGTCTGTGATGAGCTTAATTATGCAGGTGAGTACAGCGTTGGGATTGAATTAAAGACTTGAACAGTGGCTGTACTGATAGCATTGAGATGTTCTGGGTGTTGACACATTATGAAGAATACACAGTAGCTTTCTTGAATAAGCTGGCTGGTGCCCGCTAACATTGTAGGGTGCTTCTGTTTCTATGTAGTGTCAGCATAAACACTGACCCTTCCTCAAATCTGTATTTTCTGTATGGTCCAGAAATTAACCTGGTATTGTCTGCCTCCTAGATGTCAAGATTCCTACAACAATAAAAAGTAAAATGTTCTTTGTTGCATTAGCACAGATAACAGTCTTGAGTGTTAATCCAGCTTCCTGACAGACCTTGTTTAGGCAAAGAATCGTAGTATGCTAGAACTGGAAGGGACCTTGAGAGGTCATCAAGTCAAGTCCCCTGCCCTCTTAGAGACTGGACCGAGCACCATGACAGATTTTATCTAACCTGCTTTTAAATATATCCAATGATAAAGATTCCATAACCTCCCTAGGCAATTTATTCCAGAGCTTAACCATCCTGACAGGAAGTTTTTCCTAAGATCCAAAATAAACTTCCCTTGCTGCAATTTAAGCCTGTTTCTTCTTCCCCTATCCTCAGAGGCTAAGGAGAACCTTTTTCTCCCTCCCCCTTGTAACTCCCTTTTTGTGTCTATTTTATGGACCTTAGAGTGGCTAAGCTGCACTGCTGTAGCTGCACCACTATAAGATTGTTCTATGACAACAGGAAGGAGCTTTCCAGCCAGCACAATTAAACCACCCTCAACAAGTGGTGGTAGCTGTGCTGGCAGGTGTGTGTCCCCTGCAAAAATAGCACTGTCTATGCCAGCGCTTTTGCCAGTGAAAGGCAAGATTCACACCCCTGAAGTGCAAGTGTAGATGCAGCCTTAGTCAAGCAAAAAAAAAAAAAAAAGCATGGAAACTGTAATTGTCTTTACTATACTTTAAAATAGTTTTCTCTGTGGGATGACCTCTGAGTCCTACAGGAACATGCCCCACCTCAACCCGAGGGCCCACATGGAAGGCTGGGGCTGCCTACTGCCCCACCCCTCCCCTCCCCTTCCCAGCAGGGGGGGGGAAGCAGGACTTGGGGTGACGTGGCCAAGGCTCTCCTGGCACATGGGAGGAAAGCTGGACCTGGGAGCAATGCCACCTGGCTGTTGGAGTAAGTTAGGCCACGGCGGAGGAGAGGGATAAGAGGGCTCTGGCTAGTGGGGGTGTTAAGAGGACCCTGATGGGCAGAGGGGAGGAAAAAAGGGTCCTGGTGGGTGGAGAAGGGGAGAGACAAAGGGCCAAGGCAGCTGTGGCTGCGTGGGAGCCATGGCTTTCTTTGTGGGGGCTTGGGTGGGGATAAGTGGAGGCACATGGGAGCCACGTGACCTCTCAGGGGCTTTGTTGGGGGAGACGTGTGGGAGTCGCAGAGCCTTGCGGGTGCCTGGGTGGAGGCAGGGAGGTGCACAGGACTTGTTCGGCATCTCCAGGGTGAAGTGGGCACATGGGAATTGCGCAGCCTTGCCCCTTGCCAGCTGGGGGCAGAGCCATGCCGCCTTCCCCCTCCCTGTCAGAGGGAGAGGTCCAGGAGTTGCCCCTCTTTTCCCTTCTCCTCTCCCCCCCTCCTCCCCCAGAGAGAGAGACCTAGGCCAGTGTCAGTCCAGCTCAACACAATCCCCCCCCTCTTGGCAGCTGGAGGGAGGGAACTGGGCCCAGCAGGGCCTCAGTTCAGCAGTGGTGAGAGGCAGGGCAGGCCAGGGCTGCTATACCTTGACCTGGCCCTCCCTGGCAGCTGGGGAAGAGCTGGGGCTGCTTACCTGAGGAGAAGGAGGTTGGCAAGCACAGCAAACGGGGGCACTGCCCCCGAGTATGCTTTGAAATAATGTAGTTGTACAGGAAATGAATCCACTAAATGGCTAATGTATTTTTATTGATAACACGCCTTTTACGTTTTTCTGAGACTCCGGTTGTGAAGCATGAGCATTTCTTTGTATCATCAGGTGCTTATCCAAGCTGCATGGTTTACAAACCACAGTGTCCATGCATGTAACTGGTTATTATTTCTTGGGTTGTTGCATGTGCAGTATTTCCCCTCTGATGAAAAAATTAATTTTGAGTTGAACAATATGAAAGGCTGATGAATTGCTATGCTACAGTGATTCTTTTCTCTCCTCTAGTCTATTTCAGCACAGGATGAAAAGCTCTCCAAAACTATGTTTTTACCCTTAGCTGAAAGAATGGTGGAAAAAATGGTGAAGGAGGATAAGATTGAAGCTGAGGCTGAAGTAAGATTTGCGGATGTTTTCTGTTTGGTTTGCTCATTGTTAGTGCATTTTGTGAATTTTATGTTGTGCTAACAATATAGCTTAATGACTTTATATAGCATACCTAATACTGAATCTTGTTCCCATTATGGTGCTCTAATTTTCTTTAGTATTAAGTATACCAAATAAACACTTGCTGGTGATCCAGGAGAGTGGGCTGGACAGTGTTGGCTAAGGAACCCATAAGATAAAAACAGAATTCCATGCCTCAGAAAAACTTGCAAACTTAATAAAGAGATATTGCAGGCAGGGAGTCAAGTTTTCATTTTAAACACAGTAGTAGTAGAGACTGTCGCAGTAGTAACTTCTCAAACTTCTCAAGAGCTGTGTCTGAGAAAACAAAAAAGGTAAGATTCTTTCAAAGGACTGTGAGTGAAATACATATCAGCTACGTCTAGACTGGCCACATAAGACGGAATAGGCATGCAAAGCAGGCAAGTCAGAATAGGGAAATCCGCGGGGGATTTAAATATCCCCCGCGGGATTTAAATAAACATGGCCGCCGCTTTTTTTCCGGCTTGGGGAAAAGCCGGAAAAGAGCATCTAGACTGGCGCGATCCTCCGGAATAAAGCCCTTTTCCGGAGGATCTCTTATTCCTACTTGCTTTATTCCGGAGGATCGCGCCAGTCTAGACGCTCTTTTCCGGCTTTTCCCCAAGCTGGAAAAAAAGCGGTGGCCATGTTTATTTAAATCCCGCGGGGGATATTTAAATCCCCGCAGATTTCCCTATTCTGACTTGCCTGCTTTGCATGCCTATTCTGTCTTATGTGGCCAGTCTAGACGTAGCCATCCTGTTCACTTTTTATTCAGTTACACATCTTGGTCATGCTTGCTGGGGTTCTCCTCTTGGTCAAACAAAGCAATGTGGTCAGCAGCTTTTGTAGAGGAGCATAAGAAATGAAAGGGAGAAGAAGAGAGTGTGACAGTAGATGTGGTGGAATTGTGAAGAGTTCATTGCTAGATGAAGTGATTCCTTTGTAGTGTTTGTAAAGCCCCAGGGATTCTTTGGGATAAAGGGTGCTAAATTAAATTCTTGAATTTTCCTCTCTGATGGCTGTTAGTTTTCAGGCAGCATTGACTTTCTCCTCTTCTTCACAACAGAATCACAAACTGTTTTTATTTCCACTTTTCACTTGCTTTAGTTCCAAATGTCAGTGTATCCAAATCTCTTTCTTCTAAGGTTGAACTCTACTACATGATACTGGAACGTTTGGAGAAGTATCAGGAAGCCTTGGATGTTGTTAGAGGAAAACTAGGAGGTAATTTATCTTTCAGTATATTTGGTCAATTAACAATCCCAGCTGTGTGGAGGTTTGACAGTGTTCTTGCTTTTATCCCAGGTCTTTTTTTGGGGACTTGTACTATGGTGATTTACTTAATTTACACATGTAATAGCTGTAAATTAATGAGTACCAGTAACACACATTGAACCCAATTCTGTAGATGCTACTGAGAAAGAGGAGTTGTCCCACTAGTTTCGTTACACTGCTTGTGATGTCATTCACTACACTCAGGAGTGTCTGCAGCATCAGTTTCATTTTAAGTGTTAAAGTAGCAGCATGTCATACAAAGGGCAATTATCCGATTAACATAACTGGACCCACAAAACCCAGCTTGTCAGCTTAGAAACATTATACCCTCTCATCCTAGATGATTTTAGGGCTTTCTTTTTCTACCACAAAAATTCATCTGTATCTTAAGAGCAGCCAGTATATCAAGATTCTAGCCAGACTCTACAATTCTGCACTAAGTCTTATGTATTTTCAAGTTAGGGTTTTGCACCATAGGCCCAGCAGCTTCTGAGCCATATTTCTAGCAGAAAAAGGAGGGTAGCTGTATTACTGAGAAAATAATTTTAATAGTTTTAGTCCCTTCTTACGCCATATGTTGACCAGTAAACAGGCATAAAACGTTTTCTTTCTAATCACAGGATCAGCACTTTCCTCAGCTGGAAAGTATGTGCTGATCCAGCAAAGAGTTTCAGCACTGATGCACTTGTTGAGGTGCCAGTCCTTAAAAATAACGTTAAGTCTCCCCACTTTTCAATAACAAAGCACTCATTTCTAGCACCCTTGATCTGCAAGATATAAGACCTTAAATCTGCTACTGACTTCTTGGTTCAGCTATGCTTTTTGGCATAGGTCCTGGACTTCAGTCCTGGCCCATCAGTTTCAGAGAAGAATGTGTTTTTCTCTTTTGCTTCCTGTGTAGGATAAGAGAATGTTTTATTCTGAAAGTTAAGGAAAAAATATTGAAATAAATTTACAACTATTTCTGATTTAGAGAAGTTGACCAGTGAGCTCCAGAGTCGAGAGAATAAGTGTATGGCAATGTATAAGAAGCTGTTCAAGTGGCCAGAATGCAATGCACTGTCTAGGAGGTTGCTCCTGAAAAAGTAAGTTGAAATTTCAGCTGTCATTTAAAAATAGAAAATGAGAAACATGGGCAGTTAAGTGCTTGTTGTCTTCTTTCATTCCTGCGATAGCAAGCATGTGTAGTAGTTGAAGTAGCAGAAAAGTTAGGATGGCTGTAGAATATTCAGATCTATCCTGCTGATTCACTCTGTGACCTTGGACAAACCTCTTCACTGCTGTACCTCAGCTAACTGTCTCTCACAGCATTAAAATTGTTTTGAGATCCTCTGATGGAAGGTGATATAACTGCAAATTATCATTAGTTGATATAGCTCTGCTAACTTTCACCGTGGACAAGTGAATTATACAACATTTGCCTTCCTGAAATAAACTCATTTCAGTCTATTTCCAGAGACTGGAAGTACCTTATTGTCCAACATGCTAATTTTCAGGAAAAAATGCAAACTTGTACTTAAATTCCGTTTCCTATTACAATTATTTCCTACAACCTGGTTCTCTTAATCTGCCAGGCTTAATCTGTGGCTGATTTACACTGCAGCTTAAGGCAATATATGTACATTGTTCAGGGGTGTGAAAATGAACCCCCCTGAGTAACACAAGTTACACTGATCTAAAACAGTGCCCACACTGTTATATTGGAAGGAGACTCCCACTGACACAGCTTCCTCCTCTCACAGGAGTGAAATAATTATTTTGAATTAAGATCATCATCCTGTGGGAATAGCATGTCTTCACCAAATGTACTGCAGTGGTGCAGCTGCTCCCATATAGCTCAGTAGTGTAGACTTACTCTTTGAAATTCATCAGCTGCTTTGAACAGGGCAGGGCAGTATATCCGAACAGAACAAATGAGGAGGATCAGATCTGCCTCTGAGAGCAGTCCTGAGGATTTGTTTGTTGTAAGGACGAGGATACAGTTAATGAAATTATAGGGAATCCTGTGTGAAGCTGCCATCCAAAGATCAGAAAAAAACATGTTACTTAGAAGTATTTCTTTAGCAAAAGGTTAAACATAACTACACTGGAAATCCTGGAGTGACATTAAAGCACCTGTTTAGAAAAATGTTTGTCCGGAAAGGAGGGGAAACAGTGACCTAGCAACAGCTAAGGTAATTACAACTGAAACATTAGCTTGAAATTGAAAATTTTTCTATTTACATTGTGCATTTGCAGCACTTTTACTAGTTTGTTGATGGTTAGATCAGATGCATTCCCTAGCTCCTGTGTTAGCAATTTGGTGGCACTACTATTGTTCCTGCTCTCTCCTTTTTTGGAAAGACCTTTTGTAAAAGCTAATCAGAGTCAAAATCCTTTTTTAAAAAATTGTAAAAAAACCTTAAAATATAAATCTTGACAAAACTGTATGAGAAACTCGAATTTCTTTAAATAATTTGGTATTAGAAACTTCAGGTAAACAGTGCTCCTTTAAGACGGGAAATTTTCTAGTGAAAATGACTGTTAGTGTGAGTATTTCCTCTGTTTTAATTGTTCTGTGATTTGCAAGATCTAACTCTTTTTTAAATAGAGTAAACTTGTATCTGTGAGTAACATTATTTGCATTTTTCTTAATTTTGCTCCTTGCCTGTTTATAGCTCAGATGATTGGCAATTCTATATAATGTACTTTGATTCAGTCTTTCAACTCATTGACAAATCCTGGACTCCTCCAGCAGAAGGAGAGCAGTAAGTTAATTACTATCTCTGAAGGTGTCTTTTTTCTTTGCACTGTAGATGCCAAAGTCATAGTTTGTGTCCCTTGATAGTTGTACTTTAGTGCATATATTGGCAACTTTTAGGTAGTCTAGGGCCACAGAACCCTCTAAAATACCGTATTTTCCGGCGTATAAGGCGACTGGGAGTATAAGACGACCACCTAATTTTTTAGTTAAAAGATAGGGTTTCGTCTTATACCCCAGTGCCCCTCCGCCTCCTTTGCTCCCGGTGTCCCTGGTCTGCTGGAGACGGTCCCCAGCAGACCAGAGGCACCGGGAGCAAAGCCACAGCAGCTTTGCAAAGCCTCGGGGGAAGCCGGAGGCGGGGCATCCCAGGCGCACCTGGGATGTATACCCAGCGTACAAGACGACCCCCGATTTTTGGGGGATGTTTTTTAACATCAAAAATCGTCTTGTACGCCGGAATATACGGTAATTAGTGGGCTGAGGTATGACACTCAGGGTCCTTCACTTCCCCCCTGCCCTCCAGAGAGTGGGGGAGAGATTGTCCTATGGCAACAGCTCCTGTCCCTCAGGGCTGTGCTCCTCTCCTTGCTCCAGTCTCAGTTATGTCTACACTGCTGGTGGGGGACAAGTTTCGGAAAAAGGTATGCAAATTTGCATACCTTTTTCAGATTCTTTTTTCAGAAGAAGCTTTTCCGACATTTGGCCCATCTACACAAGACCAAATATTGGAAAAACATCCTCTTTTGGAAGAGCCCTTATTCCTCATAAAATGAGGAATACAGTGCTTCCAAAAGAGTGCGTCTGCTTGATGCAGCAGAGTTTTTCCAGGATACGGAGATATCCAGGAAAAAATTCCATAGTGTAGACATAGCCCCCGTTGGCTTTCACCACAGAGTCAATGTAACACATGCATAGTCAGGATTCCCTCCCACTTCAATGTGATGCCATGTCTCCTTCCTGACCCTGGCACTTCCAGGTTGCGGTGGTCAAAATGAGTGCGTCTGCTTGATGCAGCAGAGTTTTTCCAGGATACGGAGATATCCAGGAAAAAATTCCATAGTGTAGACATAGCCCCCGTTGGCTTTCACCACAGAGTCAATGTAACACATGCATAGTCAGGATTCCCTCCCACTTCAATGTGATGCCATGTCTCCTTCCTGACCCTGGCACTTCCAGGTTGCGGTGGTCAAAATAGAACGAGTTGGCAGGCCAGATTACAGACCCCAAGCTGCCAGTTTC